GTGCACCAGGGTGGGGGGGGGGGGTGACTGCTCGTTGGACCACGTGTAGCGCCGGCCATTGAGGTAGACCTCTTTGAGCGCAAGGTCGTTGATCGCACGCCGGAAGCGACCCATCATACGACGGTTGAGATTGCCATTGCTCTTGTCTTCGTCGCGGTAAATGAGGTTGAAGTCGCCACAAAGCATCCAGGGGCCGTTGCAAGCCGCCCGGACGTCGCGAAGCTCCTGTAAGAAGGCGATCTTGTCGACGTCTAGCTGCGGCCCATAAACCACGGTAATCCACCACGGCATGCGTGCGCCGGAGGGGGCAGACACCTTGGCCGTCAGCGTGTGCGACGTGAACTCAGGGTCCGAGATGGCTACCCCCTGCTTTTCCAGGCAAGCAAGATGCCGCCACGGGTGCCATCCGCGGGAAGGTAAAAATAGTCGTCGAATTCCGAGCCAAGTGCTTCGAGGACAGTCGACAAGCATACCAAAGCCATCTTTGTTTCTTGGAGGCAAACGATAGACGCATTAGCGGTTACAACGAGAGAGCGAACGGCGGTGCGGCGAGCGCGCGCGTTGAGGCCGCGCACATTCCAGATCAGAATCTTGGGCTCGTGATCCATGGAGAAGAGGTTGACGGAGGGGCGCGGGGGCGCGGTCATGCCTCAATCGGGCTGCCGGCGACCACCGTGGTGATCGGCGCGATCGTGGGATCCGCGGGTAGCTCGCGATCAACCAGCGCGGCAATGGCCGAGAGGATGGGTAGAGGGATGGGCGTGGCGAAGAGGCCTTCATACACCTTCATCTCAACCGAGGTGATCCTCTGGTCGACCCCGACGATGCCCAGGGTGCGCAAGATGTGGATCTGCGAGCGCCGTTCGGCCGTTGGGGGGGCTGCATATTTGCAAGACGTGGAGGCGGCCGAGCGTCCGCGCCGTGGGGTGAAGTTGGGGGGTACGCGTCGTGGGCGTCTGCCGGGGGGAGGAGGGCAGCATCGATCTGCTTAGTGGCGGCGGCGAGGAAATCTCCCAGAGTCCAGGAGGCGGGCGCCGTCGCGCGTGGGCGGGATCGGCGAAGGGTGATTGGTGGGGAAGCGAAGCGTGCGGGAGGGCACGGCGACGTGGCGTTGGGCGCAACTGAATGTGTCATGTGCGTGCCTCCATGTTGGGCCGCCGCCTGCACGTCCCCATGAAGGGCCTCCATCGGCTCAGCGCCATGATGGGCCTCATGCTGGGCCTCAGACGGGTGTGCCGTCTCGGCAGCGGGCCGGGTCGTCGCTGGCGCGTCCATGCGTGGTGGGGCCTCCACGGGATCCTCCCGTTGCTCGCGTGGGTCGCCAGGGCGGGGATTCGGTCCGTGGACCGGTCAGCATTGGGCGCAGCAGCGCCAGGGGGGACAGCGGCAGAGGCGCTGCTTTGCCCCGACAGTGGATCAGCTGCAGGTGTCGAAGGCTGGGAGTCTGGCACCATGCTGGCCAGCGATTGGCCATCCACAGGGCTATCCTGATCCCTATGCACGTCATGGCAAGCCTCATCCGGCGCCGTCATCGTGTGGCCCGCCCCAAGTGGCAGAGGCGACGCGGGCGGGCTGGTTGGGGCTGGGTTGGGGGAAGGCCGGGCCAATAGCCGTCGCCCAGCTGTCGAGCTGGTGGGTGGTGGGGTGCGAGTTTCGGGGTGGGAGGACGGTGGTGGCGTGGGGGGTCCATCCCTGTCACAGGCCGCCAGCCTTTCCTTTCCCCGACTCTTTCCCCTTTTGGAAAAGCGACGAGAGCCTGAGGGCCCCCCAGCAGCAGGCCAGGGGTCCATCGTGCGTGCGCGCCTGGCATCGGCCGTACGTCTGCGAGGTTGGCACCACCCGGCGTCGACGTGGCTGCGGCGGCTGGACACGCGACAAGTCGCGGAGTCGACAGCCATGCCGTCCGCACGACCGCCAGGGGCGTTGGAGGAGCGCCGGCGCTTGCGCCCACGGCGGCGGCCACGGTGGCATCCTGCAGCATGCTCACGACCGACGTTTCCATCGTTGTCGTCCGGTGCGTCGTCATCGCTTGGGCCGGGGCCGTTGCGGGCGGGAGGCTGCGCCGGCCGGCGGGGTGTGGCCGAGGTGAGCATGATGGAGACCGGGTATATGAGGGTGCGCATGGTCGGCGAGAGGGTGCGGTCGCGGGCGCGGTTGCGGGAGGGGACGGGCTCGACAATCTCCAGGACGGCCGCCTGGCGGATGCTTGCAGGGTCGCGCGTGCGCGCGGTGAGGCCGAAGGTGGCGAGGTCGGCACGGGAGCGCGTGCTCGGGTGGAGGCGCTCAATCCAGCAGCTGGTGCCGAGGAGATGCTCGGCGGTGGACAGATGCCATGCGTGCGCCGGAATGCCGCGGAGCTCAAGCTCAACACTGCAGTCCAGGGAACCGAGCTGCGCATGAGCAAGCTTGTTCCACGGGCGGAGCGAAAGGGTGAACCCGGGGCCATTGATGAAGTGGTCGCCGGCGAGGCGGTCCATGAGCTCTTTGGTGGCGAAGATGAGGAGGAAATCCTCGGGGCGATGCGTGTGGATGGTGAAGTCGCCGGGGAGGAGGTCGAAGGATGCGTACATGACGCTCTCGACGTCGCTGGCGGCGACCGCGGGTCTATCTCCGGTGATGGAGACGACCATCCCACGGCGCAGCACCAATTCGGCCTCCTCCATCTCCACAGAGCGCGGTATGATGACGCGCACCGGGTCGACGGCCGGGGGCGGTGAAGGCTGGAAGGGCGCTGCGGCCGCCACGGGCGGGGCGGCGATGCGGGGGCGTGGCGTCTCGCGCACGGCCGTGGTCGGCGCAACGGCGGTGACGACGGTGGGGGAAGGGGCGCGAAGGACGCCACGCTGGTACTTCCAGCAGTCCCGCGAACCGTGCCCGGAGTAGAGGCAGCGGCGGCAGCGGACATCGTTGGTGCACTCGCGCACGGGGTGGCCGGGGTCCAGGCAGCGGAAGCAGAGGCCAACGGCCTCCTCCGGCGAGGGGCTGCGACGGTGGCGTCGCTGGGCCGAAGGGGAAGCCTCGCAGCGCGCGGTCCGGCGCAGATTCCTGCGGCGGGGCGCCTGGAAGCCATCCGCGTCGACTATCGGGCCTCCGGTGGCGCGGTGAACCTCGCTGCGGGGCCCAAGGCGGGCGGCGGCAGGAGCGCGCGGGGGCGGCGCGGCAGGGCCGGCCGCGGCCGGGGAGAGGGAGACGGCGAGGGCAGGGCCCGGGGCAGGCGAGGGCGCCCGAGCAACCTCGCGGAGGAGCCGCCGTCGGAGTCCAACCAGCGGCGCGAGCCGTCGGAGCCGAGGTCGAGGTCGCCTGAGCTGCCACTGGGGGAGGCCATGGGCGTCGGGGAGGGGCTAGGTGGTGGGGAGGGCTACCGACGGGGGTCGTCGGCGGCGGGGCTGGAGGTGGGAGGGTTAGGCTAGGAGAGGAGCCATCCATAAGTGGACAAGTTATCCAGCTAAGGGTTCCTTTGATTCAAAGGAATTCTATAGGATTTCTGGAGGATTACAATCCTTAGGAATTTTTCTTATGTTGGTTCATTGATTCATAGGATTAGATCCCGTGGAAATTTTTCCTGTGGCATCAAACACTCCTTAGTGATCCTACGGGATTCAAATGGGCATGCCACTCCAATCCTATTCCTATGTTTTTAAAATCCTACGAATCAAAGAGGCCAAAAGGAAAGACCTCAAGAAAGTGACTGCAGTTATTGTTCTATGGCAACTGAAACCAAAGTCTAACCTCCACGTATATTTCTTGAAATTTTCTAAATGATTGGGACATGTGTACACAGAAAGTCTCAGACAATTTCTCATTTGTTCATCTAATCACTAGATTCCCCTCTGTGGCAGTGATCGAATTATATGAAATTTCTTTGTTCCAGAAATTAATTAGACAATGGCTGAACAATGGCGCTGAATTAAAAACAAATGCAGACATGGTTAGTATGACTTCAGAGGAACTGGCTACAGTGATGAACTGAAACCAAAGTCTAGAGAGCGATGCATTTGTTGGAACTTTCTAAATGATGGAGAAATGTGGATACTAAAAATCAGCAAGGAGACTTCCATTGGCGAGAACTAGCCTTCAGAGATACAGCGAATAATACCAGTTTTGTGCAGTTCACACTAACTTTAATATCGCCATCTGGTTAGCAGTTGGCTAGTGTGTTGAACAATAAACTATATGATGGTGACATTACTTTTGACCAAATGAGATAATGAACATTTCATGGAAATTAGACCGTAAAGATCTTATTGAACTACAAAACATGATAGGGCGTTTTGGAGCTCGGCCTCCATGGAGGCCGGATTTTTTGAAAAAATCAAAATTCGCATTTTTCAATTTCAAAAAAATCTGAAAAAAATCATACAAGTAAACAAGGATGTTATGTGTATGTATGTGAAGTTTGAGGATGAAATACCTTAAAATGCGATCTGTGCAAAAAAGACAAATTCATAGACTTTTGAGGATGAATAGTGCATCTACTAAAGTCTCAGATTTGTTCTTTTTGTGTAGCACTCATTTTAAGGTGTTTTGTCCTGAAAATTTACAGACATATGCTTTATGTCTCTAAGTATGTGTGTATTTTTTTTCAAATTTTTTTGAAACGTGAAAGTTTGAATTTTGACCAAGTCAAACCCGGGCTCCATGGAGCTCGAGCTCTAAAGAGCATTTTCGGATAAACACCCCCTTTGTCAAAAATGCTCTTAAAGTAACAACCACGAGTCCACCAATAAAAGCTAGTACTCCCTCCGTCCCAAAATACTTGTCGGAGAAATCGATAAAATTGGATGTATCTATAACTAAAATACATCTAGATTCATCCATTTCTCCGACAAGTATTTCCGGACGGAGGGAGTATCATATTGGATTTCTCTAGCAGATAAAAAATTATAAATCCCTGTGATAATATTAAACCTTTCAAAGAAAGTTTTAGGAAATCGTCTGGTTCAACATGCGTTTGAAAAAATCCGAACTAGTAATTAATGCCATTGGCCAGTTGCTATTAATAAGGACTCTCCCACAGATGACTAAGACCAACTTGCAAGTCATGCTAGCTGGCTGAGTCAATTCCACTAAAAGCTACTCCCTCCGTTCGGAATTACTCGTCCAAGAAATGAATGTATTTAGATGTATTTTAGTTGTAGATACATCCATTTTTATCCATTTTTGTGACAAGTAATTCCGAACGGATTACTCTAGCAGACAAAAAATTATAAATTCATGTGACAATAAACCTTTCAAAGAAAGTTTTAGGAAATCATCTGGTTCGACATGTGTTTGAAAAAATCCGAACAAGTAATTAATGCCATTGGCCAATTGCTATTGATAGGGACTCTCCCACAGGCGACTAAGACCAACTTGCAAGTCATGCTAGCTGGCTGAGTCAATTCCACTGAAAGCTAGTATCATATTGGATTACTCTAGCAGACAAAAAATTATAAATCCCTGTGACAGTATTAAACCTTTCAAAGAAATTTTTAGGAAATCATTTGGTTCAACATGTGTTTGAAAAAATCCGAACTAGTAATTAATGCCATTGGCCAATTGCTATTGATAGGGACTCTCCCACAGACGACTAAGACCAACTTGCAAGTCATGCTAGCTGGCTGAGTCGATTCTACTGAAAGCTAGTATCATATTGGATTACTCTAGCAGACAACAAATTATAAATCCCTGTCATAATATTAAACCTTTCAAAGAAAGTTTTAGGAAATCATCTGGTTCAACATGTGTTTGAAAAAATCCGAACTAGTAATTAATGCCATTGGCCAGTTGCTATTAATAAGGACTCTCCCACAGATGACTAAGACCAACTTGCAAGTCATGCTGGCTGGCTGAGTCAATTCCACTAAAAATGAAGAACAGGCTACTAGAAGTAGAGGGCAACTGGAAACCATTGTTCACAGTTATACTTGCAAAATACTATGTTCTTGCATATTCTTGAGATGTCACGGGTCACACCCATGCTTGACAAGAAACATAAGTGTTTCATTCCATGCCAACTCTTCTTCCTGTTCATTTGCCTCAACCGAGCACCCTTCACCATTGCTAATGACCAGTTTGTCTACTCCGGCTTCACCCAAGCTAACCTCAGCCTTGATGGAGCTGCCACAATCACACCAGATGGACTCCTTGAACTAACAAATGGCACCTTTAACCTCCAAGGCCATGCTCTATACCCAACTCCTCTACACTTCCGCACGTCGCCTAGTGGTTATGTACAGTCTTTTTCTATCAGCTTCGTCTTCAGCATCCTGTCCGCCTACCCTGACAAGAGTGCTGATGGCATGGCCTTCTTCGTCACCAGAAACAAGAATTTCTCCAGTGCGTTGCCAGCCCAGTACTTGGGGCTCCTCAACAACCAGAACAACGGTAAAGCAAGCAACCATATATTTGCGGTGGAGCTTGACACCAATCAAAATAGTGAATTCCAGGACATCAATGGCAACCATGTTGGTATCAACATAAACAGTCTCCACTCTGTGCAATCCCATGATGCTGGCTTCTTTGATGACAAAACTGGTATGTTCAAGAACTTGAGCCTCATTAGCCGTGAGATGATGCAGGTGTGGGTAGAGTATGACGGAGGAGCTACAAAGGTCGATGTAACTTTGGCTCCCATCAAAATGGCCAAGCCTGCAAGACCATTACTGTCAACCATCTATGATCTCTCAACAGTTTTCACAGACACGGCATACATTGGCTTCTCGTCCGCAACTGGAGTCATCAAGTCAAGATACTACATACTTGGCTGGAGCTTCAGCATGGGAAAGACTGCTCCTGGGATTGACACAACCAAGCTGCCAAGGTTACCTCATGTTGGCCCAAAGCCTCACTCAAAGGTCTTAACGATTGTCCTGCCAATAGTCATTGCAGCATTCATCCTTATTGCTGGAATTATCATCATTTTATTTGCTCGAAGGAAATTGGCATATACCGAGCTACAAGAAGACTGGGAGATCGAGTTTGGGCCACATCGATTCCCGTATAAGGATTTGTTCATAGGCACACAAGGATTTAATAATAAAAACATACTCGGAGCAGGAGGATTCGGAAAGGTGTATAAAGGCATACTTCCTACATCTCAATTGGAGGTTGCGGTGAAGAAATTGTCACATGATTCAAAGCAGGGAACAAAGGAATTCATTACTGAGATTGTTAGCATGGGCCGCCTTCGTCACCGCAACCTCGTGCAGTTACTTGGCTATTGCAGGGGAAAAGGTGAACTCCTTTTGGTCTATGATTACATGCCAAATGGTAGTCTTGACAAGTACCTGCACTGTGAACAAGAAATGCCCTTACTAGATTGGGCTATGCGGTTTCATATCATCAAAGGAGTTGCATGTGGCCTGCTCTACCTCCATGAGAAGTGGGATAAAGCTATCATCCACAGAGACATCAAAGCAAGCAATGTGCTTCTCGATAGCGAATTAAATGGGCGACTAGGAGATTTTGGCCTTGCAAAATCGTATGATCATGGTACTGACCCACATACCACACGTGTGGTCGGTACCATGGGTTACCTTGCCCCAGAACTGTTACGCACAGGCAAGCTGTCTCCTCTTACGGATGTTTTTGCCTTTGGCATATTCCTTCTCGAGGTCACCTGCGGGCAAAGGCCTGTCAAGCAGAATGCAAATGGCGATCGAGTTATGTTGGTTGACTTGGTACTTGAGAATTGGCAGAAAGGAACAATGGTGGAGATAATAGACCAGAGGCTCCAAGGCAAGTGCAAAGCAGATGAGGCATGGCTGGTCCTGAAGCTTGGTCTATTGTGCTCACAACCCTTTGCTAGCACAAGGCCTAGCATGCATCAAGTCATGCAATACCTCAACGGAGACATGCCATTACCAGAGTTCGCACCAACCGACATGAGCTTCAGCATGCAAGCCTTGATGGAAAACAGGGGATTCAACCCTTCTAGCGTGTCAAATCCACAGCTCATGACAAGCATCGCTACATTGTCAGGCCTCTCGGGAGGGAGATAAAAAAATATTCCTAGCTCTTAGCACTGTTATGGGTGTTTTATTGTATATTTTTTATGGGACCTTTAGCTATATATGGGGAAATACATCCTACTACTGGGTTGTACTCCCTTCGTCCCATGATATAAGAGCATTTTGCAAGCTCGAGCATTTTGCAAGAGCTTGCAAAATGCTCTTATATTATGGGACGGAGGAAGTACCATTTATGATAAATACTACAGTACCTATAATGTGTCACTCAAAACACATATATAACCATGTGTAATATTCCATTGTATAAGGAATTTTTATAAATTGTTCCACAGTCTCATGGAAATACAAGTTGCAGCCCTAGTATATTTTTTTTTCCCACCACACGTGCAACACGTGATCCCTCAGATCGATCCTTTTTTAGTGGAGTCGCTAGTTTTTATTCAATCAAAATAGATTTTGGGACACAATTAGCAATATCAGGGAGATTTAGAAGCCACACACGGGCGCGCTGGATCTAGTGACACGGCAGCTTTAGCTAGAGAATGGGCTTCATAATTTTTACCTGTAGTCTTGTGATCCACGCTAAAATCCTCATACTCTTCCATAGCACTGCGGTACTCGTCTTGTAGATGGTTACAGTCGCCAAACAGTTCGTCACCATAAGGATCTTGCAAACATATAGGCAGTGTGCCACAAGGATCTGCGCCATCGCTTCTCTAAAATTTCTGGCTCGGTTAAATCCTGTAGAACGACTGCCCCGTCAAGATTGCCCGGAACTTCACAATTGGATCGGACAGTGAAGAAATTCCGCCTCGTTCCCAGTCCAGATTGGCCGGAACTCCCCAACTGGATCTGGCCCGAGTGGATCGTCCACATTGCAGCGCCTCCGGGTCGTGCTTCTGCCCGTTGCCCTCACCCCGCCCTCAGCACCGGTCGCCACCACCTCCCCAGCCCGGGCCAACGCCCTGCACCCGGACTCTGCTCCGCCCCGCCGTCCAACATCAGCCGCCGCCAGCAGCAGGCCTCCAGATCCTCGATGGTCCCCCGCCGGCGTGCTCCTGTCCACGCTGCAGGCCAGGTCGCCACCACCCTCCTGTATCCACGTGCCCGTGCTTACTAGCGCTAATCAATGGCGCTAATGGCTCTGATTAAGGTCTCGAGCTCGGTGCGCCGCTGGAGGAGGGCTGCCGCGTTGTAGATCGCTTAATTCCCCGGCGAGAGCGTAGACATGATCTCCTCTCGACTGCGAGCGGGGGCGGCGGGTGTGACGGAAATGTTGAGCCTCCAGATCTAGGGCGCTGATACTATCAAAAAAAAAAGATCTAGGGCGCTGATAAAACTGAGCCACCAAAGCTCTCACGGCAATTTGAGCTCCTCCACCGTCGGATCACACGTATGGACGTATCTGATCGTTTGGGCGTTAGACCATCTACAACGCCTCAAACCAGCCTTAAACGTCTCGCGGATGGCCCGATCAGTGGCCGGTCACAAAAAATCAATTCAGACGCCTTCTTAAATTGACCTCAAACGTCCAGGCTGACCGGCACCGCTCATATCCAGCCCAGATATGTGTCGAATATGGAGCGCACGGGCGCGCCCGTCACGTCAAACTGACGATAGCGTCCTACAGGGAATCGCCCGAAAAAACCGCGTTTCTACAGACGTCTCAACTGATGCTGTTGTGGGGATGTGATCACCTCGTGGCGCCGCTTCGGCACATCGCTCGAGGCCAAATTCGGCTATTTGAGTCGGCCGACGTCCCCAACCCTAGCCACATCCACCTCCTCCCTCTTCGTGTCGTCAGCTCGAGCCCATTCCACCACCTCTCTTTGGTTCGGCAAAACAAGACCACCTATGCTATGCTCAGGCCGGAGCGCCGGTTCTACATTGAGCAGGAGATTCGAGCGAAGCGTGCCGCACGCATCGCGGACGGCTTGCCTCCGAACTCGCCCGAGCAGGAGGATGAGGAGCAGCCAGAGGCGGGGGAGGATGAGGAGCAGCCAGAGGGCGGGGGAGGATGAGGAGCAACAGCCGACTCCGATGGAGGTGGCGGATCCGAAGGAGGAGGAGCTGACGCCGGCTCCGGCTCCGGGCTTCAACATGAAGGACGCGGAGGCAGAGTTCATGGGCGTGCAAGCGGCCGAGATGGCGGAGAAACAGCCTATCCCAGAGTCCATCGAGGATGAGGTATGTGTGGAGGCTAACCTCAGTTAATCTGGCAGGAATGGGCGGCGACCGACGCGCTCTTCGACGAGATCGAAGCGAAGATGTATGTGCAGGCCAACGCGGAGGAGACGCGGAAGCCGGAGCTGCAGTTGCCGCCATGTACCCGGAGCTGGGCCGAGATAGTGGACATCACCGACAAGAAGGGATAAAAGTAGTACAGGTTATCTGATCTGCTGGATTTTATTGTTTGCACGTTTTTCTTTGAAGGATAGCAGAATTATAGTATGAGATATCTGGATGTAGAGAAGCAAATTTAACACGTGATCAGTCACTATTTATGGATGCGGGTTGCAAGTCCTCCTTGTGTTCATCGGCAGCGTACCAAGAAAATACTTGTACCTCTTCTACCCTTCAGTTTCACGTGTAGACATCTCGTGGTTTGCGAGAGATTGGCCGCCCACTCGGAGGGATAAAACTGGAACGGGCAAAAACCTTACCCCTCGCTCCGAGCCCATCGCCCGCACCCGCACCCGCACGGCGCCACGGCTAGACAAGCCTGTGCAATCCGGCGCCCTATTCGCCGGCCACGATGCACAGCTCGCTCGCTCGGCAGGTGGGCCCGCCGATCCGGCCTGGCTGCGCGGACCAGAGCCGCCGCCGCGGTCCATCCGGTTCGGTCCGGTGCCGCGCCGAGGCCGCGCCGCCGGTGTCCGTCGTTAGGACGGGGCCGTACACCGGGAGGGACCCGGAGGTGAAGAAGCCGGCGTGGCTGAGGCAGAGGGCGGCGCACGGGGAGAAGTACGCGCGGATGCGGGAGTCGCTCGGCGAGCTCAAGCTCAACACCGTCTGCGTCGAGGCCCAGTGCCCCAACATCGGCGAGGTATTCTACACCCGCCGGTGCACAACTCCCGCCGCCGCAATGCTTCGCTCGTGTGATTCGGTCCTGCGTTCAGCACGAGGAATTTCTGCGAGACAGTAGTAAGGCCGCGTTCGGATTCCCTCCACTCCGTGGCTCCGCGCCGGAGCGGAGCGGCAATCCAGCTGATTAAAGCTATAATTTGCAGAGTTACTTAAAGCCCGCTCCGTGCGCTTCGCTCCGCGGATGACTACCGAACGCGGCCTAAGTGTTCGCTTTCGGTGCTGGGCTTAACGAAATCTGCTGCTTTTGCGGGGTGCAGTGCTGGAACGGAGGGGGAGGGGCCGGCGGGGAAGGCGACGGAATTGCCACGGCGACCATCATGGTGCTCGGCGATACCTGCACTCGCGGCTGCCGATTCTGTGCCGTGAAGACCAGCAACAAGCCTCCGCCGCCGGATCCCATGGAACCTCTGAACACAGCCTTGGCCGTTGCAAGTTGGGGGTAAGTTTCTGCTGGTTGCTCGTCTACAGATTTACCACCATTAGCTTGTCATCTTTGAGAGACTGGTTTAGTAAGAAGAGATAGCGGTGCAATTTATGAAGTTTGGATTTGAACCAATGCAAATACGCTAATTTATGATGCATGATTACACAGAATATCTGACAAAATGCTGTTCTTTCCAGAGTAGACTATGTTGTGCTGACAAGTGTTGATAGAGATGACTTGCCTGATGGGGGGAGTGGCCATTTTGCTCAGACAGTGAGAGCTTTGAAGGTTTACCTCATATACTAATTTGGTGTATCTTTCATTTATCTTTTGTCAAAATGCTGTGCTAAAGATTTCTGGACTTCCTATGCAGGAGCTAAAACCGGGGATATTGGTGGAATGCTTAACTTCGGACTTTCGAGGTGATCTGGAGGCTGTTTCCTCTTTGGCCGATTCTAATCTAGATGTCTTTGCGCACAACATTGAAACCGTGAGGAGTCTGCAGAGAATTGTGAGGGATCCTCGAGCAGGGTAATTTGATCCGATGAATTTAGTGGCATGGCACTGTATGTTAGACTATTGTAAAATTGAAGTTTGAAGCACTAATAACTACTCCCTCCGTCCGAAAATACTTGTCATCAGAATGGACAAAAAGGGATGTATCTAGAACTAAAATACATCTAGAAACATCCCCTTTTATTCATTTTGATGACAAGTATTTCCGGACGGAGGGAGTACTTATTTTCTCAGATTAACTGACCTGTTAGATTATCACTCATCAACAATTCCGGAACAGCTAAAGTACAGAGAATCGCTACTTCCGGTTTCTTTCTTGTTTACTTCTGATATTCTCCTCAAAGCTATACAAAGGCTAGAGGTTTGAAACACTATAGTACACATAGAAAATCGATGATTATAAATTTATTTGCTTTATCTTGTTTTTACTCCAATAGTATGCATAGTCCTGGCTGAAACCAACCTAACAAAGTTAAACAAATGTTGCTTCTATTCATTCTGGTGCTCTGACACTTGAATCAGTTCTACAACGTAACTGTACTACGGCAATGTGATCAACCTCAGGCCATTGGAGTGTTTTAGTCTGGGTGATGTATCTTCAAATTTGACCTCTGAGCAACTATGAATCCAATTTCTATCCAGCTCCACAAACCTTACCAAATGTGGATGTGTACCATATCAGAGACCTTGCTTAGTTTCGATCAAAAGCAGAATGTTACTGTCAATTTGATCAGTGAGTTGCTATAGTTATATCACTTTATAAATGCCAGATGTTGGATTATTTCTTTTAGATGGCCAATTGTCATTCCCTAGCATCTGGATGTCTTCAGTTTGCATGACACAGTGTGTTTTATTTGAATTTTGCTGAAATTTTCATGCCTGTTGATATAAATGCTAGACGAAGGTGCCTAGTACAGAAGTTAGTATATTTCGGCAATGTCCAGTTAGACCTCGTATGTCTTCTTTCTTCCTCATGGTATCTGGCTCTGGAACAATCTCTTATCACCTCTCATTTTTACAGATATGAGCAGAGCTTAGCTGTTCTAAAGCATGCAAAAATTTGCAAAGAGGGGATGATAACCAAGTCTTCTATCATGCTTGGTCTTGGGGAAACTGACGAGGAGGTGAAACAAGCCATGATTGACTTGAGGGCAGTTGGTGTTGATATTCTCACATTGGGCCAATATTTACAGGTTAGCCCTGTATGCACATTTTAACTTTGGTGTAGCATGTAATTCAATATTCTTCTTCTTATAAACGAAACTACTTGATGTTACAGCCAACAGAAAAACATTTGACGGTAAGAGAGTATGTGACGCCTGAGAAGTTCCAGTTTTGGAAGGAGTATGGAGAATCGTTGGGTTTTTGTTATGTTGCTAGTGGACCTCTGGTACGTGCTACATGTTCTTGATTACTCCTGTGTACTGCTGCTCTGAAAAAAATGGTACTAGTATGCATAACTGAAGTTCTGGAAATATTATCTTGATTGCCCCTGCTTTATAGTTAATCAAGAAATACAGTTTCTGGTCCTATTTCTAGTTCTTCGATCCAGTAGTGGAGTGGGCATGTAGTTCCATAATAGCCTGTACCAGTGAATTTTATAAGATGAACAGGTGGACAAGCCCCTATTTCATATGGTGAAATCCGTAAAAAAATGGTTAATAGTTCAGGAGTCTGAAACAAGAAATAAAGAACAGACTGAGCTCAAAGGCAACAGCCTCTTACATGCAGCAACGGATGCAACACAATGGTCAAACGCCTTGGTCTAGGTTTTGCAAGCATACAAACGTAGCCCCTAGCAATGCAGCAATTTGCATGAACTCACTTTCTTTGTCGTGCGATTTTTGTCAGGTCCGGTCTTCATACCGTGCAGGAGAGCTCTTTGTCGAGAATTTGGTCAGAAATAAGAAGACTAAGCCTGCATCTGCCTCCTCTTAAGTCTCAACCAAGATATGTCGACCTACAAAAGCAATCCATCGGATTCTTCCACTGTATGTTCAGAGCAGCACCAGAAAAGCGGGGGCGGCACAATCATCATTCTATTATTCTGAAAGTTTGCCCCCTGCTTTCTTTTTTGAATATGCACACACACTTTTGATATTTATCACTGTAGATGCCCGGATGCTATTTTTTGTTGCTGTATCATTACCTTTGAAAGAATATAGGAAAAGCTATTCATGAGTAGTCCACATGAAGCTATCCCTCTGGCCGTTTGATTATGCGATGCTTTATCCATCACTTAGGAGAACGCATCCAGCACTTACATGTTTTAGGTACTTCCGGTGCACCTGTATGTTTTGGCCTATTTAAAAGTTAAACATTTTTTTGGAGATAAAATCACAACACTAACTTCATACATCTATTATGCTATAAAATTATAGAATCAAAATCTATATGTAGTTTGAGGAACAAAAACAATTATAGTGTTAAATTGGCTGAATTCACAGTTCAATTTGAAGTAGCTGCTATTCATAGCTAGATTTATCATTTTTTAGTTTTCTGAGTGATGCTTTGAATTTGGATTTGAAATTCTGTGACACAGTCGATATATTATCTTGTCTTTGTTTGTAGAATTTTCCGTGACTCTTATTGTGAAGTTCTCAGAATCATATACGGGGGTGCTGGAATTTTGGTCACTCTTATTGTAAAGTTCTCAGATATAGGAGTGCCGGAAATACTCCAAACTCGAGAGCACGTGATAAGTTGATATGGAATGTGTTTTAGGCTTGCTTTTATCTTTACCGTTCCTTCTGTTTTTAGTTTGTGTAATAATTTTGTTGCGGTTTCTTTAATGGAAATGGACGAAGAGCTTGTTATTTTAAAGAAAAGGTTCTTAATAATCCTCTGGTAGAGAACGTGGTACAATGTTAACAAACTCTTTTTCCAGAACATTTTTTAAAATCCACTGCAAAATTTACAATATGTACAGATCAACCAAAAATGAATTACTCTCTCTGTTCCTCAATATTTGTCTTCCTAAAGATTTCAACAAGTGACTACATACGGAGCAAAATGAGTGAATCTACACTCTAAAATATGTCTATATACATCCGTATGTGATAGTCCATTTGAAATCTCTAAAAAGACAAATACTCCCTCCGTTCCCAAATATTTGTCTTTCTAGGCATTTCAAATGGACACGACATACGGATGTATGTAGACATATTTTAGAGTGTAGATTCACTCATTTTGCTCCGTACGTAGTCACTTGTTGAAATCTCTAGAAAGACAAGTATTTCGGAACGGAGGGAGTATATTGTACTCCCTTTGTAAACAAATATAAGAGCATTTAGATCACTATTTTAGTTATCTAAATGCTCTTATATTTCTTTACGGAGGGAGTACAAAGCAAAGTTTGTTGAAGCATGACAGCACAACGGTAGGCTGACTGACTCCACAGGTTTAAGTCCACCGAAAGATAAAAGATGGTCACAAAAGCTTCGTAATGACCTAGTGAGCACACGTGGAGGTGGTTTTCTTTTCTATGTTTCGATCATATATCTTCATGTTTTATTTGGATTATTTATGTGTTTCTTGTGCAGATTTCATTAATATTTGATTTTTTTTGAAAATTATGACTTTGAAATATTGTTGAATTTGCACGGATAGAAATATACTCCCTCCGTCCAGATATACTTGCTGGAGAAATGGATTTATTTAGACGTATTTTAGTTTTAAATACATCCATTTTGATCATTTTTGCGACAAGTAACTCCAAGACGGAGGGAGTAGAAGTTTGAATCGTTACTACTTATATTGGCATGTGGTGTGTGCCAACCAAACATTCAATACGCTTTGGTCGATTGAAACTTCAAGAAATGTTTTTTGATAAGCTTTAATATGACATGGAAAGAAACTCTAGAACAAATATGAACTTAATGAATCGATCTATTGCATGTTTAATATTTGTGATATATCTATGATTTCAACACTTATGTTTAGTATTTGTCTGTTCAGCATATCGGCATAGTTAGGTATTTTCCGGTTGATTTGAGATGTGATTTTGGCGAGATGATGTCCTGCTCCAAATTTTTTTTCCTCCACGAGAAGGCATTTATGTCGTACGCCACCGCCTCCGCGGACATGTCACCACTGTCCTGCCCGACTGACCACTGACTGTTGATGGTGAGACCCCGGTGGCTCCGGTGGCGTGGATCGCTGAGCTCACCGGCGGTTAGGCAATGCAGAGGAAGAGGTGCTCACCGGCGGTTAGGCAATGCACAGGCAGAGGAGCTCCACCTCTGTCTCTCTCTCTCTGGGGAAAAAAATTAAGGCAGGGCGACATAATCATTCCGTTCTTCCGAAAGTTTACACCCTGCTTTTCTTTTCTTTTTGGATGTGCATAAGCTTCTTTTGATCTTTATACTAAAACTGGTCATGATTTCGGTTGTTGTATCATTACCTTTCGGTCGAGACGGTACACGAAAAGGTGTTGGGTGTTAGCGAAGAATCCATGTGAAGCTGCCTCTCCGGCTTGATTATGCAATGCTTTACCCATCATTTCTCGTCAGAGGAAAAAGAGAAAAACGGTTAACTTGTATTCCCATATGCATGTCTAGTACAAGCAGACAGGCTGCGGCTCATGAGTTGAAATACTCTCTGTACTCGGCATTGCTACTGCGGACTCCAGTACGTACTTCCTCCGTCCCATAATATAAAAACGTTAAGGGCCTGTTTGGTTCCAAATAAGTCACCAATTTATAAGTCGAAAAATAAAAAAAAAGTAACTTATTTTGCCAAACAGACCCGACTTATAAGTCATCCCAACTTATAAGTCATAAGTTGCTCCACCCCAACTTAAAACTTATAAGTCACCCCCTTTTACGTGAGTCCCATCACATGCATGATGTGGATTGGTGTGGGAAGGTGTGTTAAGTGACTTATAAGTCATTGGTTTTAAGTCACCTGATAAATGTTGGGCGACTTATTGGAATCAAACAGTCCCTAAACCTTCCGACGGAGGGAGTACATATCAACCTCGGTGTGTTTCAGACACAACACACGCACATGGACATGTGATCCTACCACTACAACTGCGCGCGCAGGCATCAACGGAGCTGTAGAAAAGCAGCAGCAGTAGGAGTAATGCACAGTGTTATTTGCGTTCGTGGTTGTGGGCTAGTGGCAGGTCAGCTTTACCTAAAAGGCTAAAGCAGCTCGTGTGGTGTGGTTAAATGACCGCAAGACATGGCGGTCTGGCTCATGAGTGAATCATCACGTCTGTTCTTATCCCCGGAACCAGAATGGTTGGGGTAAAGAAATAAATATTAAATAAAGGATAGAGCTATTCTTTTTCTAGAGATTCTAGAGAAGATGTGAGCCGAGGCGGCTATCATTTCTCTATCTGTGCCATTGCTGCTGAGTTGGTCTGTGCCTTGGAGCTTCCAGCGCGATCTGCATTCTGCACGTACGCTGATGTGCATGTAGGGCGCACAACGTCGAGGAGTCGCTGCGTTTTTTGCGGCTCATTTTTCTGCGTCGATAAATGTTGAACGAACAGTAACCGCGCTTGGATTATCGTATTTCCCTCGGATACATTTGTAAAAATTACAGGCCCCTAAACGTCTGTATTGTTTCCAGCCGGAAATCAGCCTAATCCCGTAAGATACACTTGTAGATTTTTTTTGAAGTAAAGCATAGCTCTAACATTAACGGTGTCCAGGCAAATCGCCCTGGACAGAAGCCACAAGTGTGGCAGGTACATCATAGTCCCACTGCATCGAGTGATCAGCCTCACACAAGCGACCCAAACTAGCAAGTTCATGGGTAACAGAATTTGCCCCTCTCCTACATGACACTATTACATGATGAGAAAACCAAAGTTTCAGCTGTAGTTTGATATCCTCGATGACAGCCGAGTAAGCCGACGAGTCTGCCCTTCTCAGGTCCATTGCATCCGCAACAAGCTGGGAGTCGGTCTCAAAGATCACCCTCAACATACCAAGCTCCGCCGCCAGTGCAACACCGTGAGCCATGGCATTGACCTCTGCACCGAAGGGGTCTCCTACATGCTCCTGCCGACCTGCGCGAGCACAAATGACAGTACCTTCCGAGTCTCTCGCCACTACACCCCAACCTGCGTGTTGTTCGCCTGGCACAAACGAGCCATCAACATTTATCTTGATCATGTCCTCCTGAGGCGGCCTCCACTTGTCATCACATTGTTTCTCAGCTTTTTTGGAGAAGACTTGTTGGTATTCTAAAGTGTAGCTGCGAGTGCGCCTTGCAACCTCCTCCGCGGACCAGGGGAGCTTGCCCTCCCTGAGCTTATTTCGATTACTCCACCATAGCCACCAAGCGGTGAGAATGCATATTCTTTTCTGTTCATCGATTCTCCACAAATGATCCATCATCTCATGAACTGATGTTATCTCCTCCATCTTCATCCTTTCTTCTTCCAAGGCCAGGTCCCGCCACACCTGTTTCAACCTTACATTTTATGAATAGGTGAGCTCCATCCTCGGCTGCTCGTCCACAGAATAAGCAAGCTGTATCTTCAATCGGTACACCCCTCCTTGCCAAGTTTGTCCGCAGCGCCAAAGACTCATGTCTAACACGCCATGCAAACATTTGGACATTCCTGGGGCAGGGGAGCTTCCAAATTCGTTTCCAGGAATCATCTTGGCACACATCCAAGTTACCCAGTGTTGTAGTGCTACTGCCTGCTCCTCCATCTTTTGCCATCCTCTCCAGCTGCGTGTGTAGTTTGTATGCACTTTTGACCGAATGTAGGCCTTTGGGGTCGAACTGCCATGCGATGAAGTCTTGC